ATGCCTAAGTATATAGCCCCCCTTGCAATGGATTCTCAATCCCCTGCCCCTTTGTGTGAAGTTATCAATTCTTTGAAGTGTTAATGACTGACTCCCCTCACCCTTTCCCTCTCCTTTATTCCCTCAGTTCTTAGAACTCAGTTTCTGCACCTTATACTCTCTTCTTAGACTTAAGTTCTGCCCCTTCATGTGAGCCTTGCCTTGGGACTCATGAGCTCCCTCTGAACTTGGACACATGAGGGCTGGTATTTCTACACTGCACTTCTCTCTATTTTGGTTCTGAAACATGGGTGTGAGACCTGCCCGAGGTCTTATTGAGGCCCTTAGGGAACTCTGACACACTCAAGGTTGAGAAAGGCTTTGGATCAATGGTATTTTGAGTTAGTTTATCTCATAACTCAGAGAGGAAGTCAAGAATCAGGCTTTCTCTGATTGTAACTTTTCTTTGTACTTTTTCTGATGTAATTTATTATTCCTGGTTTGTAATAATTTGTAATGAACATTTGGGGTTGGCTAGTGAAAAAAAGGGTTGGGAAATTATGCATGCTCAATGGTAAAAAACATGCCTATAGGACTGCTCCAATTCTGCATATTCACATTACATTTAGAAACCATGTCTATAGGACTTACTTGTTCTACATCACATCTAGATAACCTGCCTATAGGGATTATCTAAAATTCTGCAAATTTGTCACCGTTTAGATATCATGTTTTTAGGGCCCAATTGGTTATAACCCAGTAGCATGCTGAAATCAGTAACACATAGAAATCATGCCTATAGGGGTTTTTAAATAAATTTGAGTCGTTCCATTCACATTCAATGTTAGATATCATGCCCATGTGGATTAGAGTCAGTAATAGTAGATACCATCATCTGCAGAATTTGGAACTAGTCTAATTTAAATTCGTCTATTCTGAACCTCTGTTTAATAATTCCCTTATTTTCAACAAGGTTTAGCAAGCATGCCTATAGGATTGCAAGCAGTAAGTTTTGAGTTATCACTGTTTTACCACCTTCTAAATTAAGTAGATATCATGCATGTAGGACACCGTCTAAACACTTAGGCAAGATTTAGTGTAATAACTGTAAAATTGAATCCGCCTTTGTTAATTGTTACAACCAGTAGGCAGGCCTGAGTCAGACTTCTTATCTGAGTTATGTAATAAACTAATCTGCCTCAACAATTTACTTCCCTCATCTTTATGTGCTTTAAATCAGACCTAAAAGGTATGTGCAAGTCATGCTAGTTATGTGCTTTTGTTTTGAGGAGGAATACATGAGCTTTTTGTCTGTTTACATGCTTCCCTTTTATATGCCATATTATCTGTTTTTGTATGTCGCCTTAGATTTTTATCCTTTGAAACCAATCATCCTAATATCCCCTCCCTTATATGTTGTGTGTTCTGGTTGATTTACAAGCATGACAACACTCCCTATTGATGTGCATGCCCAAAATTAACCTATTCCTAAGTATATAACCCCCCTTGCAATGGATTCCCAATCCCCTGCCCCTTTGTGTGAAGTTATCAATTCTTTGAAGTGTTAATGACTGACTCCCCTCACCCTTTCCCTCTCCTTTATTCCCTCAGTTCTTAGAACTCAGTTTCTACACCTTATACTCTTTTCTTAGACTTAAGTTCTGCCCCCTCATGTGAGCCTTGCCTTGGGACCCATGAGCTCCCTCTAAACTTGGACACATGAGGGCTGGTATTTCTACACTGCACTTATCTCTATTCTGGTTATGAAACATGGGTGTGAGACCTGCCCGAGGTCTTATTGAGGCCCTTAGGGAACTCTGACACACTCAAGGCTGAGAAAGGCTTTGGACAATGGTATTTTGAGTTAGTTTATCTCATAACTCAAAGAGGAAGTCAAGAATCAGGCTTCCTCTGGTTGTAACTTTTCTTTGTACTTTTTCTGATGTAATTTATTATTCCTGGTTTGTAATAATTTGTAATGAACATTTGGGGCTGGCTAGTGAAAAAAAAGGGTTGGGAAATTATGCATGCTCAATGATAAAAAAAAATGCCTATAGGACTGCTCCAATGCTGCATATTCACATTACATTTAGAAACAATGTCTATAGGACTTACTTGTTCTACATCACATCTAGATAACCTGCTTATAGGGATTATCTAAAATTCTGCACATTTGTCACCGTTTAGATATCATGTTTTTAGGGCCCAATTGGTTATAACCCAGTAGCATGCTGAAATCAGTAACGCATAGAAATCATTCCTATAGGGGTTCTTAAATAAATTTGAGTTGTTCCATTCACATTCAATGTTAGATATCATGCCCTATGTGGATTAGAGTCGGTAATTGTAGATACCATCATCTATGGAATTTGGAACTAGTCTAATTTAAATTCGTCTATTCTGAACCTCTATTTAATAATTCCCTTATTTTAAATAAGGTTTAGCAAGCATGCCTATAGGATTGCAAGTAGAACGTTTTGAGTTATCACTATTTCACCACCTTCTGAATTAAGTAGATATCATGCCTATAGGACCCCGTCTAAACATTTAGGCAAGATTTAGAGTAATAACTGTAAAATTGAATCCGCCTTTGTTAATTGTTACAACCAGCAGGCAGGCCTGAGTCGTACTTCTTATCTGAGTTATGTAATAAACTAATCTGCCGCAACAATTAACTTCCCTCGTCTTTATGTGCTTTAAATCAGTCCTAAAAAGTATGTGCAAGTCATGCTTGTTATGTGCTTTTGTTTTAAGGAGGTATACATGAGCTTTTTGTCTGTTTACATGCTTCCCCTTTATATGCCATATTATCTGTTTTTGTATGTCGCCTTAGATTTTTATCCTTTGAAACCAATCAGCCTAATATCCCCTCCCTTTAGGAATAGTAGTCCTAAGTGCCTCCAGAACTAATAGGAATGGGACGGGTAATAGCATGAAATAGTAATCGAGACCAATCCGCGTTGTAATACCTTAACAGGGTGGGAAGGGTAGATATGGATATGATGACCGGTGTGCTAATTCCATGTGTATCCCCTCTTTTGAGGAGTGATTACCGGGTATTGCATTGATGTGATCCATATTTTTTGTAAACCTAGGACCCCCTTTCTTTATTTCCCCCTTCTTTTTTTAAGCATTGTAACTCCTTATTTAAAATCAGCTCTTTTAATTGCTCTTTCAAACTTTGTTTTCTTTCAAACTATTGTGCATTTAAATTCCCTCTTATTTGAGCCTTATCTGCTTATATGTTAATTTCACCCCAAATTTACAATAACTGTCTGGTCGGGAACCACACTAGTGGATCCTGAGGGGTGCCTAACACCTTCCCTTTGGGATAATTTCAAGCCTTTACCCAATCTCTGGTTAGAATTGAATCTCTATTAGTGTCCTAATGCACCTTAATCATTAGGTGGCAACTCTTCAAATGCAAAAACCCAGTTCCAAAAAGGAACAAGTTGTCCTTCCAAATGTCATAAACTCGATTTTGCGAGAAAAAGGGGGCGCGACACCTACGTCCTATTCATTATGAACATTACTAGTTTCCTCAGAAAGTAACTATTCCTTAGTTCCCTGAATAGTAGTAGAACTTCTATTCTCTAGATGGCATAGTTTCATAATCATTCGATATTCTATGAATTTCAGTTATGACAAATCAACTTATTATGAATACTCATCTCAGTTTAATCCTATTCACTATTCCAGTATCATATAACTCGGTATGGCTCATTATTTCAGTATCATGTATTACAGTATGATTCTCAGTTCGTGATTCTAAATTCCTGAATGTTGAACACCTGTATTTGTGCCTGAGGCCGTAGTTTATGCTTTATTCATGTTTGGGCCTGAGGCCGTAGTTTATGCTTTATGCATTTTTGGGCCTGAGGCCGTAGGTATGTATGCGTATACTTGGGCCTGAGGTTGTAGCTTGTGCACATATATATATATATATTGGGCCCGAGGCCATAGTTTATCAGATAAACAGGTTGTTCATTATTCAGAAGAGGGAGTATTCATATCCTTACTTCCTTGTTCAGTTATCAGTTTATCAGCTAGCAGTTTAGTTTCAGATTCAGTATTTATAGTTCTTTTCTTTAGTTGTTTCACATACCAGTTCACTTCAAATGTACTGACGTCCCTTTTTTCCCGGGGACTGCATCTCGCATTATAGGTAATGATTTTCAGGTTGACGATTCTACTTGCTAGTACATCTCGTATCAGCTATTGGTGAGCCCTAGTCTTTTGGGGCCTTATCTCTCTTTTGTTTTAGTCATTATAGTATTTCAGTTAATAAGGTATACCGGGGACCTTGTCCCGGTAAACAGTTAGCATTTTCAGTATTCTTTAGAGGCTTCATAGACTATAGCCCAGTCAGTCAGATATTAGAAGGCTTTCATGTGTTAGCCTTGTCGGCTACTTATTTATACTTACAGACCTTTCAGTATTTTCCGCATCTATGATATTTCAGTCAGACTTTTTAGTAGATTATCATGTCTTATATCAAAGAAATTGTCCGAATGCATGGGACTCCTTTGTCCATTATCTCAGATCGTGGTGCTCAGTTCACAACAAACTTTTGGAAATCCTTTCAGAAGGGATTGGGAACAAGGGTGAACCTCGGCACCGCTTTTCATCCTCAGATAGATGACCAGGCGGAACACACCATTCAAACTCTTGAGGATATGTTGAGGGCGTGTGTTATTGATTTTAAAGGTAATTGGGACGATCATCTACCTCTCATTGAGTTTGCTTATAATAACAGTTATCACTCTAGTATCAAGATGGCACCGTACGAAGCTCTGTATGGGCGAAGGTGTAGATCACCAATTGGTTGGTTCGAAGTCGAGGAAGTGGAGTTGTTAGGACCTGATTTGGTCTATTAGGCTATGGAGAAAGTCAACTTTATACAAAGGCATTTGAAGACGGCTCAAAGTCACCAAAAGTCCTATTCGGACGTGCGGCGTAGAGACTTAGAGTTCCAAGTTGATGATTGGGTGTTTCTGACGGTATCGCCCATGAAAGGCGTTATGAGATTTTGGAAGAAGGGGAAGCTTAGTCCCCGCTATATTGGTCCATATAGAATCCTACGAACGATCAAACAGGTGGCTTATGAGTTAGAATTGCCACAAGAACTAGTTGTTGTACACCCATTGTTTCATGTGTCCATGTTGAAGAAATTCATGGGAGACCCGTCACGTGTGGTTCCTACAGAGATTATAGGGGTTAAAGACAGCCGGTCTTACGAAGAAATTCCAGTGGCTATTCTTGATCGCCAAATCCGCAAGCTCAGAACTAAGGAAATTGCTTCAGTAAAAGTTCTTTGGAGGAATCAAAAGGTTGAAGAGGCTACATGGGAAGCCGAGGAGGACATGAAGTCCAGATATCCCTATCTCTTTGAAGAGCAAAAGGAAAATTTGGAAGGTAGTTAACCTTTCCATTCAGGTCTTATATTATAATCTCCATGTCCTTCAGTATTTACTCAACTTAGTATTTAGTGATCATGTGCTCGTTCAGTTTGATATACACGTATTCATGATATTTCAGTATTCTCATATCTCCATCACACCCGTTTAATGTCCATAGATAGCCGTAGTTGCAGCCAGGACCATCATTCGAGGACGAATGATTCCAAGGGGGAGATAATGTAATACCCCATAAATTCGGCTTAGGTATGAATGAGTTAAAGGAGTCACAAGGATATATTTTGAACATGTGAAGTACCATTGGGATGATTATGGGTGAAAATAGTTGTTACAAAATCAAGATGGAAAGTGAGGTGCATAAGATTTGACAAAATCGACTAAGTTTGCAGAAGGTCTGTCTTCTATCAGTGTTTAATGAAACTGTGTAAGGAATTTATGAAAATTCAAATTATGAATGTTGTAGGCCTTTGAACTATCTTTCCAACGATATATTGTGGAGCCCAAACGGAGCTTTGTGCAAAAGGTTATGCCCGCTTTACAGAATGGTGTGTAACCACCACGTTCAACCGCGTTTTACCGCGACTGCGGTCGTGAGGCAGTGCTCCAGCTATTTACCGCGGTCGGGACCATAGTCACACCTACTGGGACGTGGTGGCCCACTTGGGAAGTCATTGTTTAGCCCTAGTTCGTCCTCCACAACCCCAAAATATAAAAACTTGCTCTAGAAAGGAAAGCTCTCAAAAACCTAACTCCTTAAGGGTCCCTCCACCACCCAAGGTAAGTTCTAATGGTGATTCTAAGTTAATTTCAATTTCCCAACATCTTATTAACATGCTTAAACCCTCCATATCATTAGATATTCGATTGAGATATCATTGTTGAGAGAAGGAAGCCTAGAACTCGAATTCAAAGGGTTTGAACATCAAAAAGGTAATATCTTCATGCTCTAATTGATTCTAGCATTGGTTTAATGATTATAAACCCTAGTTCATGAGATATGAGTTGATGGGTTTGATAGAAAAGCATGAACGATTATAGGGTTGGGGTGTTGAGTGTTGATTATTGGTTAAGGGCGTTGTTTACCTTATGGGTGATGAAGAATAATAGTGATTATAATCATTTGAGACTTTAGAATTTATCTAGGAACAAGAGAATGGGTTTCTGGGTGTAGAGACACCATTAATAAGGACTATGAAGCTTTATTTTTACCAAGTGTTTAATGAAATGCTTAAGTGACCAAAACATGAGCATCACAGCTAATATGGAATCCCTTTGACTTGTATTGCTATAGATTAAAGTTGAAAGGGTTGACAAACGTTGTATTACGCTCAAGGGAAGGAAGTTAAGGTATGTAAGGCTAACTCTTTACGTTTGGGAATGTCTATTATTCTCCCTACGTCCTATTCATTATGATCATTACCAGTTTCCTCTGAAAGTAACTATGCCTTAGTTCCCTGAATAGTAGTAGAACTTCTATTCTCTAGATGGCATAGTTTCATAATCATTCGAGATTCTATGAGTTTCAATTATGACAAATCAACTTATTATGAATATTCATCTCAGTCTAATCCTATTCACTATTCCAGTATCATGTAACTCGGTATGGCTCATTATTTTAGTATCATGTATTACAGTATGTTTCTCAGTTCCTGATTCTAAATTCCTGAATGTTGAACACCGGTATTTGGGCCTGAGGCCGTAGTTTATGCTTTATGCATGTTTGGGCCTGAGGCCGTAGTTTATGCTTTATGCATTTTTGGGCCTGACGTCGTAGTTATGTATATGTATACTTGGGCCTGAGGCCGTAGCTTGTGCACAAATATATATATTTGGCCCGAGGTCATAATTTATCAGATAAATAGGTTGTTCATCATTCAAAAGAGGGAGTATTCATATCCTTGCTTCCTTGTTCAGTTATCAGTTTATTGGCTAGCAGTCCAGTTTTAGTTTTAGTATTTATAGTTCTTTTCTTCAGTTGTTTTACATACCAGTACAATTCAAATGTATTGACGTCCCTTTTAGCCCGGGGCCTGCATCTCGCAATGCAGGTAACGATTTTCAGGTTGACGATTATGCTTGCTAGGACATCTCGTATCAGCTATTAGTGATCCCTAGTCTTTCGAGGCCTTATCTCTCTTTTGTTTTAGTCATTATAGTATTTCAGTTAATAAGTTATACCGGGGACCTTGTCCCAGTAAATAGTTAGCATTTTCAGTATTCTTTAGAGGCTTTGTAGACTATAACCCAATCAGTCAGACATTAACAGGCTTTCATGTGTTAGCCTTGTCGGCTACTTTTTTATACTTACAAACCTTTCAGTATTTTCCGCATCTATGATATTTTAGTCAAACTCTTTAGTAGATTATCATATTTTATATTTACCTCTAGCTTATATTATACCATATGTGGATCCAACCATACAGTTGGTTCGCTCGGTCACATGCAGTCAGGCACTGAGTGTCGTGTTACGCCCAGACCATGGTTCGGGGCGTGGCACTTTTTAAAACTATTTTCTTACTTAAACTCTTCAAAACTATGTCAAGCACTCTCACTATACTCTTAGACCACTAAGCACTGCCCGGGATCCCTTAAGGTCCTTAGAGAACTCTAACACACCCGGTTATGAGAAAGGCTATGAAACATTCTTGGCATTTGAGGTATTGGAGTTAGATTTATTATATAACTCAGAGAGGAAGTCCTAATCAGCTGTTGGAAATCCGGGCCTGTTTTCAGGCTCTCTATAGTGTAACTTTTTATTTTTTCTTTTCCACTTATGTAATTCATTTCAATATTAGTCTATAATAATCTGTTGTAAATAAGTATTGGGGCTGGCTAGTGAAAAGGGGAGGGTATTTATATATGCTATCAACATCAATGGGTAGAAACCATGTCTTAGGATTACATTTCCTATATGTGCATTAGAATCCATGCGTAAGATCAACCCATTCAAAGCATATCATGCATTAGATACCATGTTCTTAGGTTTACTGTTTTAGCATCTCATTTGGCATCCCTTTACCACTTAGAAATCCCGTTTTAGGCTAAATAACAACAATAATATAAAATGTTGCTCCTTTACATCTTAAAATCATGTTGTAACTCTTTAGGCATTTAGAAACCATGGTTTAAGAATTCTGTAAATCCTGAAATCATTCTGCATCTTCATATGTGCATACCTTGTTTTAGGATCTCATTCACACTTGCTCAGTCACACCTAGTTAAACTACTTATGCATGAAAAAGGACATAAAACAGTCTCATGTTTGATTATCCTGTTTAATTGAAATTGGTCACAATCTCTGCATGTCTTTGCAACATTTAGAATAGCATGCTTTAGGTAGAATAGCTTCCAAACTATTTCAATAATTCTGGTAACTGCTGCATATTATTTTACGCCTAGGCAAGCCTTAGGTAATAAGCTTAAATAAAAACCAGAACCGTCTTTGTTTAACTGTTAGCATGTTAAATCAGTAGGCAAGCTTGATTAGGACTTCTTCTATGAGTAATGTAATAAATCTAACTCTGCTATTATTACTTAAATACCATGCTTAGGATTTGAATTCAGACCTTAATTGTGTATGAGTCATGCTATTTATGTGTACTGTGTGTGGAGGTATATCTGAGCCTTTCATTTATCTTCCATGCTCTCCTTAATTGAAGTCCTACTTGTTTATTATATGTCGCCTTAGTATTTTGCCTTTATTGAGGGTCTGCCTAGAACTCCCTTTTATAGGATATGAGTCCTAAATTCCTCCGGAATTGATAGAAAGGGACGGGTAACAACATGCAATAGGGGTCGAGACCAACCCTCGCTTTAATTACCTTCATGGCTGGGAAAAAGGTAGATATAGATATGATGACTGGTGCGTTAATACCCGTGTAGCCCCTCTTTGAGGAGTTTCATATCGGGTATTGCATTGATGTGATCCATATTATAAATAAACCTATGAAACCCCTCCCCTTTTACATTCACAAATATGCTTAGATTGTAATTCTTTTTTTTTAAATCTTGCTTTTCATTAATTGCTTTTCAAATACCACCCCAGAACCCACCTGTGGGATTATACTGGGTCGTTGTTGTTGTTGCTTTTTAAATACCTGTGTATTGAAACTTAAATCCCCTACTATTTGAGTCATACTTGTTTATTTGCTAATTGTACAAATTCACAAAAAACTATTTGACCGGGAACCACACTAGTGGATCCTGAGGGGTGCCTAACACCTTCTCCTTGGGATAATTTCAAGCCCTTACCCTGTATCTGGTTACCAAACGTAGTTATAAATGAACCCTATAGGTGTACTAACACACCTTAAATCGTTAGGTGGCGACTCTTCAAAAATGCAAACCCCTTTTCCAAAAGGAAAGAGTTGTCCCAACTAAAATGTCATAAACCCGATTTTGCGAGAAAAAGGGGGCGCGACAGGACTCCGTTATGGTCGATAGGGGGCACCTCGTTACCAGGTGCTACATTGTTGTTCTCGCCATTGTGACCGGATTCATCATCCACGTTTAGAGGGGCAGCTTGAGAGTTTGACATTTCAAATTTTAACCTAAAATCAAAGATATTCCAAAGAACAAGTGTAAATTAGGGTGTGATATAAAGGTTCGTATCAAATAACCACTATTATCTTTATCCTCACGGTGGGCGCCAAACTGTTTACCCTCAAAATCGGATAATAATTAAATTTGCAAGTGGTTTTAAAGATAAGCGAATTAATTTGATACAAAGCTATAAATTGGATTACATTGAACAAGTAGAGATAAAATGAATTCAAACTACACGAATAAGACAATTTTAGCCTTAGTGAAATTATTCACCCTCGATCTGGGCTCGCTATCATCAACACTGATGAACATGTGAAAAAAGCTAGATAACAGAGAAAATAATAATATATTTCCTTGGAACACATTTTACAATGTACTTCATGAATTATCAGACCCCCTTTATATAGTAGGGAGTCTTACCTTAGGTACAACTCTATAAAAGGTAAAAAATCTTCTGATTAACTGATTCCCGGCTCCTTATCGATACGTGCTGAGATCCTTGCCATGATATTCGTCTAGTCACGGATATTTCGGCCTTCCGTTGGCTATGTTTACTTGTCCGATAATGTTCCCCTAAGCCGTTCGAGGCCAAGACAAATCCGGAACTCTGACCCCGATATTCTCGGGGGCAGGCGTCATGCCCCCAAATTGCAACTTGATGAGACTTTCGCCTCGATGTCGGCTCCTTGTCATCATGTCTAGAGCCTGGCTTATCTTGTCGAAGGCCGGGATACACCACGAGCTCGATTTTACCCGTATACACTATATACATATATTCTTATTATTACGAGTATACTCTAATAAATACTCATAGTATTTGTCCTTTCTTAGTTTGAAGTAAAAATTGCAAAGGGCGTCTTATTTGGTTGTCCCCATTTAATCTGTACTCACTTTCTTCTTCTATTAAGGTAGTTTACGATCTTTTGCAATGGTGAGCTGTTGTGGCGCTTTATTTCTTACTATTGCTTAGGGTTTCTTCTTCTTCTTCTTTTTCTTAATTGCAAAATGAATTCGCTAGATTTATTGTTGTTTTAACAAATTGATGAAATATTTGGAGGTTATATTTCAAATTTGAGCTCATTGGGAGTAGATTTAGGTGCTAAATCATTGGATTTTTAAAATTCGAAGAACAAATTTATGCTTCTAGGCAATTTACACTTTAAACCTATTTGGCATTAAGTGCATCTGAAGTGCAATTTTTTCACTTCAGACTTTTTGACATTAAGTGCATGAAACCATTGGTTACACTTCATACCTATTTGACCTTGAGTGCACCGAAGTGCAATTTTTTCACTTCATATTTTTTGGCCTTAAGTGCATGAAATCATTGGTTGCACTTCAAATCTATTTGGCCTTAAGTGCATCTGAAGTGCAACCTCTCTGACCCATAGCTTCAAAGACGCATATACAGCCTCTCCTCTGGACTTCGGTGACTGTAAATATTCGAATTCATGTGGGCTGCACACAATTAATCTACAAATTAGCTCATAAGTGGTGATGAGCCATGTGGAACTTACTTTAAGGGGTAGATTGTTGTGTGTGCGTGAACAAAATCCACATGAAAAGCATTAAAGAAAAAAAATCTACTTATAAGGGGTTTGATATTCTTAATGGTGTATGACCTTTGCGGAAAAAACCGTGTAGGTTTATTCAAAGTGGACAATATCATACCATATTAGTTCAACAACTTTGTGGATAACTGGCGTTCATTTACTAGTTAGTCCTGAAGTGGCTCTTATAGCGTTGCTTCGTTCCAAGTACGCTGCTTATGTTATGAAGGTTAGTCCTAAACGAGCTAATTAATCAATGGTGTGGTCGGCACGTGTTAATTTTGGCCACTACATTGAGAATAGTATAACTATGTTCAATTACTGGAGTTTCTCGATTGCAGGCTACAAATTAAAAATATATATGAAAGATCACATTTAAATTTTCATAATATGGAGGACTTGAATTTGTCAAGGCCATTTTGCTAGAATATTTCATTCTATTCTAGGAACCACGGAGTTAACTAGGCCTTGCAATCTGGCAAATGTACAACTTCTTCTTTCCATGTTTTTGCCGGCATTCCATTATTCCAGATTTTGGCTTATTCTCTTGTCTAGTTGGCCTAATATCCATGTCCATTTTCTTAGAGAGCTTCACCACTATCATTCCCTTTGCTATATACACTGGAAAATATTAATCACTCTTTCTATAACATTCATAGAAAGAAAACTGAATATATAGTTTCTTTAGTGCCTTCAATATGATGGCATTTCTTAAGGGACTGTTTGTTTATGTTATATTACTTGTTGTGCTTCTTAGTGGAGTAACTTGCACTGAAATATATCATGAATGGATTGTTTCCATTGATACAACTATCAATCCTTTGTCATCTCCTCAGTCTGTAAGTGTTCTTGATCCCTTGTCACAACATATGTTTGTTACACTAGTCCTTGTATACTATTTTTGACTTGTTCACAACATTGGATAAAAGTTTATGTTTCGTGCACCGACTATTAAGAACTTTTGTTTAAGTTGACCTACAATGACATGTAACTCTGCCTATCAAGTATGCTATATATATAACCTAAAAATAGAGTAATATTATAAAGAACTTTACTTAAGTTGACCTACAATAACAGGTAACTCTATAGATCAAGTATGCTATGTAACCTAAAAATAGAGTAATATTATAAAGAACTTTACTTAAGTTGACCTACAATAACAGGTAACTCTATAGATCAAGTATGCTATGTAACCTAAAAATAGAGTAATATTATAAAGAACTTTACTTAAGTTGACCTACAATAACAGGTAACTCTATAGATCAAGTATGCTATGTAACCTAAAAATAGAGTAATATTATAAAGAACTTTACTTAAGTTGACCTACAATAACAGGTAACTCTATAGATCAAGTATGCTATGTAACCTAAAAATAGAGTAATATTATAAAGAACTTTACTTAAGTTGACCTACAATAACAGGTAACTCTGCATATCAAGTATGCTATATAACCTGAAAATAGAGTAATAGTACAGTATAGCTGGTTAAATTGCGCTGATAGTATAAATATTCTTTCTACTGTCAGTGTTTAGAATTTAAAGGACCATCTAATGATTTTTTTTTCTGTATCCGACTATTGACTTGTTGGAGTGACAGAAGAAAGTTAACGCGTGCTACAGGTTATCACTATCAATGGGATGTTTCCAGGACCATTGATCAATGCGACGACTAATGATATTGTAAATGTGAATGTCTTCAATAACATGGATGAATCCTTGCTTATAACATGGTATGTGTATATGTTCTTAGTGCCAGTTATAATTTGGTATCAATAAGAAAGAAATGAGTCATTAACCTGAGGACTAGTAAAATGTTTATTTTTTTCTTCTTCTAAAGGAATGGCATCCAACAGAGGCTAAATTCATGGCAAGATGGAGTTTCAGGCACAAACTGTGCGATTGAACCTGGAACAAACTGGACATATGTGTTTCAGGCTAAGGACCAAATTGGAACTTTCACCTACTTCCCTTCAATCAACTTTCAGAAGGTTGCTGGAGGATATGGACCAATTCGAGTCAATAATCGCAACGTCATAGCTGTTCCATTCCCAAAACCAGAAGCTGAGTTTGATCTCCTGATTGGCGACTGGTTCAGTACTGATTACAAGGTAATCAACACTATAGTCTCTATGTTGAATTATGTGACTATCTCATCTAAAAAGTTAACCGTCAAAGAGGGTACATTTTATTCATTTAATTATATCATTAACATGTCCCTCACATGAATATATGTTCTGATACCATGTTAAATTATATGATCATGTCATCTAAATGCTTAGAGCTGTTAGAGAGATCGCATATTTATTACTTAATTATATAGTATTCAACACTCTAGATTGGAATTGATTTTTCCTTCACGTTAATGAACTAAAGTTTTCTTTGCTCGTGCGTCTTGCAATAAGCAGTCTCTTAGGTCCTCTGTACAAGACAGGGAATCTAGTCAGCTCTTCGATGTCCCTGATGCAATCCTGATGAATGGTAAAGGACCATACGAGCTTTCAATTTCGAAGGGACGTGAGTCTTTTACCGTATCAAAAGGTAAAACAGAACAAAAGTTTATCTTGTTCGAATTCAAGAATCTGAAATCTCATCACCTTCTCTGATCCTTTACTTTCATGTTTTGCATATAGGGATGACTTACAGATTCAGGATATCAAATGTTGGAACTGTCATGAGTTTTAACTTCAGAATTCAAAACCACAAGATAGTCTTGGTTGAGACAGAAGGGTCTTACACTAATCAGATAACACTTGACTCTCTCGATGTGCACGTTGGCCAATCGTATTCTGTTCTCGTTACTGCTGATCAAAATGAAGCTGATTATTTCATGGTAGCAAATCCTAAAATGTACAAAAGTAATGAATCTAGTGATAGCAAATCTCTTGAAGGAATAGGGATCCTGCACTATGCCAATTCTTTAACAACAGTTAGTGGTCCTCTCCCTTCCGGCCCTGATCCATTTGATATCGAATTTTCTGTCAATCAAGCCAAATCTATCACGTAAGCATTTCTTTGAACGTTATAACCGACCCCAATTAAAATGAAACTGAGGCGTAGTCGTTCTTGTTAATGCGTACTATAGGTGGAACCTGACAACTGGAGCTGCAAGGCCTAATCCACAAGGAACATTCAATGTATCAAATGTGACATTGACCCAAACCTTTATCCTTCATGGTTCAAAGGGTGAAATTAATGGTTGGCCGCGATATGTAGTCAACAACGTATCCTATCTCACACCAGAGACACCATTAAAACTTGCTGATTACTTTGTGAATGGATCTGGTGTCTACCAATTAGATCGATTTCCCACTCACTCAGTGAATGACGCTGCAGCTTATGGAGTTTCTGTTGTGTCTGGAATCCACAAAGGGTGGCTAGAAATCGTCTTCAAAAATGATCTTGATGTTATGGATTCTTGGCATTTGGATGGTTTCGGATTCTATGTTGTAGGGTAAGCCTTATCCAATCTCCACCTTTATAGAATTTAAATTAACATAGAATATCCCGGCTTTGCTAGCCAAAACGAAATAGACATACAGTCAGACCTCTCTATAACAGCATCCTTATATAACAATCATTCACTATAAAAGCCAAGTTTTTCTTGGAACGAATTTTTATCTTATGTTATAACATATGTCCTGTATAAGAGCATTTTACTATAGCGGCCAAGAAAATATTGGAACAAGCGAGGCTGTTATAGAGAGGTTTGACTGTATTAACGATTGATTACTTGAGCTTGTAATGACCTTGTCTTTTTTCCAGATTTGGGAATGGAGATTGGACACCAGCAGCTCGTGAAACGTACAACATCTTCGATCCTGTTGTTCGTTCCACTGTCCAAGTTTACCCTGGAAGATGGACAGCAGTATATGTTTTTCTTGACAATCCTGGAATGTGGAACTTGAGATCACAGCACTTAAAGAATTGGTACTTAGGACAAGAACTTTTTATTAGAGTTTTCGACGATAATCCTAACCCTGCTAAGGAGAGACAACCACCTCAAAACCTTCTTTTGTGTGGTCAGTGCCAATTCCTGTTGTTCTTTGCTTCATCACACATTTAAATAATTAAATCCTTGTACTTAGTCATATTTTGTTGTTGTTGTTATAGGGATGTTTGAAAGTTCTCTTTCACCTGTTCCAAGTCCAGCTCCAGCTCCCCAAGCAGGATGGTGAAAGGAGTTCTATTATTACGTGAAGATTTATGATGTTAATTTATATTATTCTATCTTATATGTCATGACTAAAGTAATACTTACATTTGAAAGTAAAAGCTTGAGGCTTAAACATTGTTTAATTTTGTTGTAATTGATTCTTTTTGCTATATAAAACTGCAAATTTCCAGTTCACCTAAGTTGTTAATGCTCCTCTTTTTCTGTCGTTTTCTTTTCGTTTGCTGTTTTATTTCAATGGTTCATTTCCGTTAATGAATGAAAATAAGAGTTACAAACAAAAATGAAAAATGGGATAGAGATCCTTAAAAAATAACAAGAACAACAATTACGTCTTGATTACAAACAAGTTAGGGTCACCATATGGATTGTCATTGACCAAGTCATTATTGCATTGCAATTCAACGTGCGAGATGCCTAGTAAAAGGCAGCAGTAACAGTAGTACCCGTAGCGGTACTACCACACCGATGGGTGTAGTGAGATGGTTGAGAATAGAGATACATTACCCTAAACTAGGGTCTTAGATTTACTTTCACCTTTAGCAAGACCAGTCGTAAGAATAGAGAATCTTTTGGCTAACGCTTTATCCCTTCAGTGAGCATGTCAATTATGAATTTGAATTAGTCGAACCAGTGAGTTGCAGATACAAGATGGTTTGAGGAAGAAAGTGGGAGAAGCACTGTAGCACAACTTATAATGGTAAAACGTGCAAATAATATATTAAACCATTTTATCACATAGTATTAATTAAAGTCTTACATGTTTATAGTTGTTCGGTCATTAGCTGAAAAACTGTTCATTTGTAAGAAAAAAGTACTTCTAGTCAAACTACGCCGATATAAACAATCTTTACACTTGTGTATAAAACTTAAATTCATAAATATTTTCAATTTTTGTTAAGATGCAATAAATAAAGCTAAGCTATCAGACAATATAACTTCACTAGTACAACTCCACTTAGCAATGTATGAAATTGTGGAATAAATATTTAAAGAATTTTTAAGTTTTAACAATAGGAGATGAAAGAGTGGTGGTGACTCGCATTGACCTTTTAACAATGTCCATCGTTAATCGTGAATGTTCGTGTATAAATTAATTTAATTTGGGTTGAGAGAGAAGGAAAAAAAAAGGAATTGAACCATAGTCAATAATGACAATCAATCAGTTGTCGGGTGGTGGACAAAACAAGAGCTGTTTGTTCCTGTTGTTGCTGTTGCTGTTGCTTTTGTGTTTGTTTCTGATCTTGTTGTTGCTCTATAGCAATAGGATAGTTTGGTGGATACTGAAAATTTCTTGATTGATGATTTTGATCTTCTGGAGCTGGAAGATTAAGATCTAATGACAACCCAATATTTCTTGGTTTCTTCAAATTATTTGGAGAGTCTTCAAAGGAAAATGCTTTAGTATTTAATGGACTTAAACACAAAGATGTATTAGCACCCCCTCTATGTCGTCTCATGTGACCACCTAAAGCTTGTCCTGAGTTAAATTCTGCACCACAATATGAACATGTGTGGATTCTAGGTGAAGATTTGTTATTTGGACTTTCCATATTAAAATTGCTGAATTGGGTTGAAAGAGGAGATAATGGTGACAATTTGTTGATGTTGTTGTTATGCTTGTAATTTGTTGGTGAGGGTTCATCTTGGTCTGAAAAATAGAAGAATGTTTTTCTTGGTTCAATGGTTAGTGGTTTTGGTTTTTTATGACTTGCTCTGTGTCCACCTAAGGCTTGGAATGATGGGAATGTACGATTACATGTCTTGCATTCGTACACATATGTCCCTGCCTTGGCACCATTTCCAATATTAGTCGTCTCGACGTATCTTTTGCTGTTGAATTTGCTTGGGTACAACCCCATGTCATCATTGAAAAGATCGAACAATTTGCTAGGTGGCGACTCTATAAATCTCTGACGAGAAGAAGGATGACCGCCTTGGGACAAGAGGATCAGACACTTGGCCGTTTCTTCTTCTTCCTCGGTGGGGACATCGTCATTAGGAAAGTTTTCAGTTGAAGTGGCAGACGGCTGACTAATATTATTGTTGTTATTGTTATTGATGATGTCATCTCCGCCATCATCATCAGTTGATGAATGCACGGCGATGGTGAAAGGGATGGGAGATTGAGGCCTAAGACGTTTAGTGCGCTTGCCCTTAACAATGTGGGAGAGGTCCTTAGAGACCCCTACCACTTCTTCTTGAGGAGTCTCCATCTATCTTCATCCACCACCAATATGTTAAAAACATGAAATTAACAAACAACAACAACTCCCCAGTCCCCCCCCAAAAGAAATGGAAGATTAAAAGGGTGGGGGGGAGAGTGAAAGAACAAAAGAGAGAAGAAAGAGAATAGAGAAATACTAGAGAAAGCGATGAGGACGGAGAGTGGAGGGTTATGAATACATATATACCAAAATAGTGAAATGAAGGTTTTTAGAAGTCAAAGAAGAGACAGACACCATTAATTATTAAATATATTTACTGAATTAGATTGATATACTAACTGAAAGTGGCCACCTTCCAATCATTTGGGAGAAAGAAAAATGAGTGGGAGAAGAATTATAAGAGGGTGTCAAAACTTAGATGATGAGAGAAACGTGGAGAAAAGGAGAGAGATTATTTTTTACTTATTGTATTTGACTTGTATACGAAGTTTAAGAATTAAAATACTTATGTATACATTATACTTGACATATTAATATAAGTAAAATAAGGCAGTTCGGTGTACGAATCATTTTGCGTTCACACAAAGTTTAGGAAAGGGCCCACCCCAGATGAGTAAGGTAGGCAGCTTACCCTGAAGCAAGTATAAGTGACTGATTCCATCATTCAAATTTATAACCTATAGATCACACGAAAATAACTTTAATGTTGCTCCAATGCTTCTCTGACATATTAATAAGTTAAAAAAGAAGTTAAGATAGAGATCAAATTGAATCTCTTAAGAAGCATCTCATCAGTGATTGGCTTCATGTGCTTAAAAACCTCCCATTAATTCATATACTATAATATTTCAACTTTTACTTAGCAAGTCATCTCTTAGTTACTAGCTCACCTCTCGTGCATGGCCAGCTTGACAATAATTAATATAATAATTTAATTTATAGCTGTTACTGAGCCAATTATTTTGTTCCGTTGATTGTTTATTTAGATGGAGGACACATGTATGGATCACACTGAGTTCCACTGGGGGAAATGTTAACATATTCTCCTTCTAAGAGATAAGGTAGTGCTGTCTAATAATATTATAGTTCCACTAATCACTCTTAACTGTCTAGCTAGAGTACTTGAATTGCATGGATGAAAAAGAAAATGTTATTTTTTGGCTTAAAAAAGGAAATGGCAGAGAAATAAAGTATTTCATTCGGTCTATTCTTTTAAGTTTTTTTTTTTAATATTTTGTTTAAAAAAATATTTAATAGTCCTAATCATAAGAGTATTTAACCTATATTACTCTTTATCTCTCCAAAAATATCTCACTTAATTAACACTTCACTAATAAGTGGAACATAAAGGTAGATTGGAAAAAAAAAAAAAAAGTAATCAATGACTTCTTATTTTGTAAAGCATCAACAACAACAACAACTTGTGTAACGGTGCTAAAAGTACCTTTTTAGTTTTTTTTAAGAAAGAAATTTGTGGGATAGGATCACTTAATGATAGTTCAAGCATTTTCCAAACTAAAGCATCAGTTCGCGAGAGTGGATCAATATA